AGATTAATGTTGGCCATCGTACCTACAAAAAAAATTTTGTACCTGCAGGTAAAATGATTTTACCACGAAATAAATTATGGTCGACGAGGTCCTATGGTGGCGTAAAAAGGGCCGTGCAATTTAACAGCGCGTTAAAACTATTTCTAACTGCAATAAACAAGAAAAGATGTGAGGTGTCCCCATCGTGCGAAGAATCAAAATAGAAACAGACGCAAAACGAACGCAATGTAAGACACCCCGCGCGTAACCGAGGTGTTTTCCCGGTATATTTTTCCTTTCCGCGCTCAGCAGTAAGTATATACGATGTAAGACGGTAGAGTTTGTAATAAATTCCAATTTGATTAAAATTAATGAAAACACAAAGTGTCTCAGCCGGAGATAAATGTTTACTGTCGTTACGCTCGCCACCACGAATCCGTAGTTGCTTGCGCGGCGATTGAAGGTTTCTAGTGAAAAGAAATAAAAAGGCAATTCTCGAAAACAAAGTTTTATTCTTCATTGTTGTGAAATGGAAGTGAACGGGTCAGTGTGGTGTCACACGTATGTGTATGCATGCACGTGAGAGAGTGAGAGTGCATTGATATCGTCTCATGTATATATCGTTTTTACACGACTGATAAACGCCTGTGAGAACCATAAAACCGTCCAAAAATACGTGGCTTACCTCGGATTAAACGTAGGTCCCCATACCAGAGATGAGACGGATACCAAGAGTGTTCCTGACAGGATGTGTTGATCCTAACGCTGAGCGCAGATCTTGCGCGCAGTTCCGCAGAAAGGCGCACACGTCCGCCATATATATTCCATTCTTGGTATAGTATACTATAGTATATGATATGTATTATATTATGGTTTATTATATTCTTTCATCTTGTACGTTCCTTTAGATAAAATCTCTCATAGCAAACGCAGTTACCAGCACTGCCACAAGTTACCGATTCTCTGCTTCTCACTACGTGTGGGAAAGGTATAATGAAACAGACCCTTATGTTCCGCATACTGGCACAAAAAAGGTCTGTGAGGTGGTAAATGTTTTTTTTGATGTGGTTTGCGCGTTTCGAGTCCTAATCAAAAGCGAGCAGCACAGGCGCTGGCCAAGCTAGGGGTCGGGGGCAGACCAGGAAAATTTTTGAAAAAATGCTGGCAAATGTTGGTAGTCATTCTAAAGCTATTTTGAACACATTGTATGAGACTCTTGCATCCTCTTTCCAAGTTGTCAAAATTTCGTCAGTGAGGCGGTGTTGGAACAAATTTCTGTGTGGGGCTTGAGAAATTTGAGCGAGGTGGCCCCCTCACTCGTGTCAATTTGCAGGGAAACACTGAGGCCTGTAGAGCCTGTTGCCGGCCTAGACACCCAGCTAAGCATAAATGTGAACCGGTGATCGAACAAAACAAAGACAACAATTCACAATCACTGAAAACAAAACTATTATTCCTTGATCTTACAACTAGAATCGTCGTCAACATCATGTCAAACTTCAAGCTCGCGCGCGCGTTAGAATTAAATTCCTCGGTTAATCGATAAACGCTCAGTTAACACCAAATAGGCGGCGAAATCTCGCTGGCACAAGGACTATATACGGCCAATCGGAAGCACTGCAATGTCATTGCCAGTTCACTTCTAGCAAACGTTCCCACAAATACCGTTAGATGGAAATATCGAAATTTCGTGTCTACCCAAGATACCGGTTAATCTAACTGACAGCATGCATGACATGGACTAGAATCGATAGAATAGAAACCCAGGGGCAAGCGATTCGATAATTTTTCTAACACATTTGCCTGTCTATTACAATGCAAAGTCAACGTGCCCTATCAAGTTGCTAGTCAGCCTATCTCTGCCGTTTATTTTTAATTAATCAATGAACCTTAAATTGCTTACCAGTGGAATTTTCTACAGCATTCTCACAGTGTAGTCCTATTACATGAAGTCAAACATGTGCAAGGAAGGCCTATCTATTATCTATTTATTAATCGTTAATATCAATCGCACGCTTAATTGCTAATTAAGACTATTGAACTAATTAACTAAAAGCAATTGGCTGGAGTTTACGGCAGCGGTCTGGCAATATTTTCTGCGGTGTGTATTGTTCTGTGGGACGTTACACTGGGTATGGTGTTAATGCATCCTCAGGCGAAGCGAATACATGTGCTTTGGCCAGATAACATTTTGTGCGTTCGTAATCTGTTCGTAAACTACACACTACGATGGCTCTTGGTGAATTATACTAGACTGGGTGTTTTTATCTCTTCTCAATTATTATGTAGTTTGATGGTACGCGAGATGAGACAGCTTGAACATCCGTTACATAGAGTGCAATCTCTTTTGTAAGAAAACTGATCAGCCTCTGTTGTAGCATGTTTGGCGTTGTGGTTGTGTGGTGTGTTGTGCCGTATTTTTGTGCTTTGCTAGTGCTCAGACGTAATTATAGTAACTCGGGCTATTGAGTATATCCGAGTTGTTTATGATATATGCGTCCTCAGTCTTTACATGCGCCGGGGGTGGTCATCTTTGGCGAACAATTGCTGATGCGTGTTAGATGGTGAAGAGTATGTTGACGTCCGTACGACTAACACATAGCTTGTTAAAGTGAGGAGCGGTGTTGTTCAATGCTCGATACACACATAAATGTTCACAACGATGTGCGACCTGTTCTTATGTCGAACACGACAGAATGTTAAAGTGAACTGTGTTTGTGTTTCATATGAATCAACAGCGGATGTTTCTACAAACAATGCGACCGTTTCTATCGAATCATTGTGTTGTGACGGGCACCACGATAAGCTGTTAAATGAACTGGTTTGTTTCAGACGAACAACACAATGTATCAACGGAAGCAATGCGAACCGTCTACGAAGCAACACAACTGTTAAATGAACGTGAAGTTGTTCAATCGAACACACCAATGTTTCACAGTGAACTAATGCGACCGTTCTAAAACGAACAATCACAACTATTAAATGAAGCGTTAATTGTTGCAACAACCAGACAGCGATGTTTCACGAACAATGCGACCATTCGACGAACAACACGACTGTTCAACGAACAACATGACTGCGCATCATGGTATAGCTTCCAGGCCACAATTAAAAAAATCTTGTTTTGCCCGTTACCCGAAGACCCAGGCTGAAAAGTTTGGGTAGGTAGGTAGGCTTCATTCTATTTTTACCAATTCAGCAATGGTGTTCTTACAATGCTCGGGTGTCTGTTGTGGAAGGATATCCTGTCGATATGTGTAATGTTTATTTTGCTTGTACATATAATTGTATGCCTAACAGATTACATATGTAGCAATTAAATACAGATTTGTAGAGAGATGAGAGAGAGAGGTATGGGAAATGTCAATAAAGAGAATTTGAGGTTCGGCCCCATTTGGCGGGTCGGTTAGGGCGAGGTGCAAACAAGACAAATGATATTTTAATTATGGCCCCACGTGCGCTAACGACCGGATTGGAAGTCGTGTGCGCACTCGGGCGCGATTGAACAAGGACGCACGTGATCGTGTGTCTGACGGCGTTGATCGTGTGATCGCGATCAGTAACAGACTGCAGGAAGAACTGCTAAGCGTCGTTCGTACGTCGAACTGACCACGTGGTGAGTAGGCCACCAGGGGCACTTCATTGTTCACACATCGGCGGTAGCGGTGCACTCGCCGAGTTTCCATCGTCACTCCTCGGCACTAACGCGCTCTAACAGTGGGAGGTGGAGCGAACATGCGTCCTCAGCCTCAAAGTCGCCAGGCGACGCTCCGTAGGGGTCTGGTCACGGACCAATTGGCCAGCCCCCTAGGGGTCTGGTCACGGACCAATGGCAACCCCTAGGGGTTGATGTCACGGACGCGGCTGGCGCCGCCTAGGGGTCGAGGATCACGGAACCGGTGGCGGCCCCCAGGCCGCAGATGGCGGGGTCCTCGCGGATAGCGAGTCGTAATCGTCCGCCAGGATGGACGGCCACGAGTTTTCAGGCGAGCTCGAGCGCCGTGCAAGCGCTCTGGCCTCAGCTGCTGCTCCGCGGTCCGCCGCACAACGGCGGCGAGCATGCCTCGCCGCCGCACGCCGCGCTCGCTTGCCCGCCGTCCGGCGGCGGCGCGCCACCGCGAAGCGCGGCGTTGTCGGCGAGCGAGCGCGCAGCCACCGCGACTCCACGGGCGCCCTCCGGGGGAGAGCGTCGGGAGAGCCGTCCCGGCGCCGCGCGCGGCGGCCCGACATGCCCTCGGCGCGACCGGCGGCGGCCAGCCGTCGTCAGTGTCCCGCAGCGTCGCCGGGTGTCGACGCGCTGCACCATCGCCGGCGGAGCGCGCTCCCGGTAACCGCCCTCTCCGCCTCCCGCCGCTGCTGCGGCCACCGCCAGGAGCTGGCGCCGCAGGTCCGGCGACGGGGCACGGCCCCAAGCACGGGTGCGGGGTACCCAGGCGTGGTCCGCCTCGGGGGGGGCGGGGCGCGGCGCGCACCCGACGCCGTCGTTCCGTCGTCCGCCGGCGCGGGGCGCGCCGTGCAATCCGGGGTGCGGCGTCGGAAGAGAAAGTCGGGAGGCTCGTCGACATTGGGCGGCGGCGGCGGCGGACGAGCGCGACCGCCGCCGGCGCGCGGCCACCTGGGACGTCCCCGCGCGGCGCACGGCGCAGCAGGGCTCGGTCCGCCGGCGCACTCTGGGGAGCGTCCCGCGCGGCGGCGGCGGCAGGGGGTCGGTCGGCCGGGGCGGCGAGTTCAGGAGCGAAGTCGGGAAGGGTGAGGTCCAACCCGGGGATTCCGTCGTCCGCGACGCGTTGCCCCCCCACGACTCGTTGTCCCCCCACGACGCGCTGCCCCCCTGCGGCGCGTTGCCCCCCCGCGGCGGATGACTCATCGGGAAAGTCCGGCAGCACGAGATCGAACTCTTTGATCGCCCCGTCCATCGAGTGAGATTTCGGCAGTCCGCCCGCGGTTCCACCGCGCCTACCCCCGGCGCCGCGTGGAAACGCCGCGTCGGCGTCGTCGCCCCCCGGCGCCCTCTGGAGGCGGTCGTGGTGGTGGAGGTGATCCTGCACAAAGTCCGGGAGGTTGTTTGCGATGTCGGGCGCGGCGTACGACCGCTGCTGCTGCTGCGGCAGCAGCGGAGCGTCCCACGGCCCGGGACGCATCGCCCGCTGCCCGTTCCCCCTGCCGCTGCCGGTGCCGCCATCTGGCGGGTTGTTGTCGTTGACGATCCTGACCTTCGGGCGCGCGCCAACGTCCTGGTGTTTGAGGAACTGCTTGAAGGAGAACGGGTTCTCTTCCTTCCTCTCCTCCTTCCTCTCCGCTGTAGGAGCGCGGGAGGCTCCCGGAGGGTTCCCCCGATCGCCCGCGGAGCGTGGCGAGGCGCCCGGGGGAGGAGGCGGTCTCCCCTCGTCGTTACGATCGGAGGAGGATGCGGCGTTGCCGTCACGGTCCTCTTCGCCGTCCGGGTTCTCCTTGCTGCTGACGAATTTCTTGAAGGAGAAAGGGTTGCCTTCGTCGTTCCCCGCCATCGTTGCACGCGGCCGCGGGAAAAGAAGTCCGCGCCTTGCGCGTTCGATTCTCGATCGAGTCTCTCTCTCGCCCCAGTCGGCTTCTCTTTCTGAAGTTTTCGGGTAGCGACCGGTAGTAGTAACCCTTTGTAATAGATCGAAAAGCTCTCTATCGAACGACAATCGAGAAAACGGAGAGAGATTCACGAGATCACTAGCAGCGAATCGTAGTCTATCGGAAAACGCGTAAGTTCTCGATCAATCTAAGAGCAGGAAAATGGAGAACGATTCACTCATTCCTAGCAACGGGTTTGTATTATATCGATAGCGTAAGTTCACCGACCGAACGAAGAGCGATTCACTGTATTCGAGCAGATCAGTAGCGTATGTACACACCGATACGGCGAACAATCACTGTATACCGAGCAGTACGATTGTAGTAGATCGGAAAGCGGAAGTTTTCAGGAACAATGTAGAAACGACTGGCGGTTCAACGACGGTAGTTTTCCGAACAGGATCCACCGTGATAGCGTACCTGTGACGCTGGCGCCTCCCGCCGGCAGCGGACAGCGCGTTGCCGCTGGCCGGGATGCCCACGCGTTCGTCACGTAAACGTTGAATTCGTTCTCCGCCGTCGGCAGTAGTAAAGCGGACGACAACGCGGCGGCGACCAGAGTCGGCTAACGGCGGCAGAGAGACCATCCCGCCGCCGCATCGCGGCGAACTCGTTAGCGACGTAACCCCGGAGACTGACCTCCCGCGAGGTCGCGGCGACGGAGTCATAGGTTAAGCGGCAGATCGATCGAGGCGAGAAGACGCCGCACATTGACTGGCAGGAAGGCTTCACGGGCGCAAGGTAGAGCCGAGCTGCGCCGCGACGTACACTGAGGTCATATGGTCGCGGGGTCGATGCGTCGCGAGCGTTGCGACGGCAGACGCCGGCGTTGTCGCGGGGCGGTCGTTGAGTCGATGAAGAGCCCGTTGCGTGTTGGTTCGGTCGCGGCGACGGTCGTTGGAGCGAAGAGAGCGCCCTGAGTGGTATTCGTCGCGGCGAACGGTTCGTTGACGAGGAAGCCGCCCGCGATGAATGGTGGTCGCCGGGAGAGATCTTCGTCGGAAGTTCGCTCACCGACCGCTGCGAAAACGAAGAGAGAGATAATCGGTCAAATCCCGTTTTGAAAGGTATCCCCGTTGTTGCTATTCACAAACTGGGGGGGGGAGGGGGGGTGCATCGCATAAATAATACTACTAGTTTAGACTGGTTCCTGGGTTTTGTGCAGAAAAAATACAAGGAATGGATGTGGTAGTACGTTACGTGGCCCAATCCTAGTTTAGCTACCCGGCTTAGTTGGTTCAAGGATAGAGATGATGTCCAGTATGGTGATTGGATAGGATGATGTTAGTTGATAAGATAGGACTGGACATCTTCTCTATCCCTGAGCCGCTTAGTTTAGCACATTTGCGAAAATGTGCGCCGGGGTCCCAAACCAGGATTGAGCACGGTCTGCTAGTATAGAAGGCATTGCAGTGTGGTGCTGTAGATCTTGATTGGTGATAAAACGATAGAATTTGGGTCAAAGGATCGCGATTCAGTAGTGACTAGTGGTGCGAGCGTGACAAGGCGAGTTATTTTGAAACTGCTAACCAATTTAGATATTTACCTCACTGGCAATGGCATTCTCGCGTCAACTTGTGAAATTATAATTTATAAGTATCATGCCAACATAACCATCTTGATTACTACTACTAGTGTAGTACTAGTAGTAGTAGTAGTACTAGTACAGTAGTAGTACTGATTTAGTGATTAGCCAAATGGACTGGAGAAAGTTAGACAATTTATCCCTGCGTTATTATCCACGTAACCGTGGGCTACGCAGTAAACTATAATCCAGATCCAGATCCAGACGAAAAATTGACAAATACAAACGAATTATCATTCAAAATCACACAAAGTAATCTATATTATAATAACCTCATCACATCACTCGAACTAACATTGGTAGGAAATCGCAGAATATTTGTTACACGGGGTCTACATGCTGTTTCAACAGCCAATCTCAAGGATAAAGAATGTACACCAAGTCTGAACAAGGGGGCTGACATCTTGAATAAATAAATTAACGTCACGCGGCAAAATAACGAAATTAGTTGGAAATATAAATAATAACTTCCGCATCTAAAAAAATATAATATAAATAATTAAAATTATCAGTTATAAAATGATTAGTGAAGCTTTTCTATTTTTATTCATAGCAAACTTTCGTCGGGCAGGCACTGCCAGGCAGCGCGCGCATGACAAACTTGACATTGCGAAAGTTGTTTTGCCATTTTCGTTACACAGATCTATTACTAGATAGATCGTCGAAAATAAGAACATAAGAAGGTAATCGATCTGGCACAATAATTTAATGAACCCCACAACAAACCCTCAAAGCAATTATACCGTTAGACCACCAGTTCAGGTATACGTGTAAGGTGTCTACCGGCAACTATACGAGTCGAAGCCATTCTACTGGATTCGACTACAGGCTTCGACCCAGAACAGGCTTCGACCCAGAAC